TTTTGTTAATTTTCAATACTAATTATTATAGAAAAAGTGTATTAACTTCATTATAAGCCACAAATTAAAAAAATTCTTGTTATTTTTAATCATTTTTTCATACTAATTATTACAGATTAGTAACTATGAAAAGGAGTTGGAAGAAATGAAGCACATGACCAGGCAGGAGTATGTTGCGGCTTTGCGAAGGTATTTGATGAAAACGTTCATCCAATCCAACAAATTGAAAAGAAAAATGAAACAAACTAATGCAAGAGCATAACACCAAACTGATTACAATAATAATGTAGGAAGAGCAGTGGATTTTCTCGAGGTGCATCGATATACAGAGGAGTCACAAGGTAAAATATGGGGAAAAGCATCAAGACTGGAGAGATGCATTAGCAGCAATATAGCTCCAGATATCTAGCTTTGAGAAAAATTCAAGTATTTTTTTAAATTGATCGTATGTTTGTCGATAACAGACATCACCAGCATGGAAGATGGCAAGCAAGGATAGGAAGGGTTGCTGGGAACAAAGACCTTTACTTGGGAACATTCAGTAAGTTTCGATTTCTTCCTACATTGAATCGTTGCATTTCTGTTTTTTTTTTTTTTTGGCATTACAAGGGGGAATGGGATGGTTACAACAAAGGTAAGTCCTCCACAGGGTTCAAACACCAAATTTTTTTTTTGGGGGGGGGGTGTGGGGTCGTGGTGAGAGCAGGGGCAGTGGTATTGAGGATATCCCTATCATGGGTAATTTTCTTGAATTTGTGTGTAGATACCCAAGAGGAGGCAGCAGAAGCCTATGACGTTGCAGCCATAAAATTCCGGGGACTGAATGCAGTCACCAACTTTGAGATGAGCAGATATGATGTGAAAAGCATACTGGAGAGTAGCACACTTCCCATTGGAGGAGCAACAAAGCGGCTGAAAGATATGGCAGTGGATGCACTGAGGGCCGATGAGGATAATATCAGTTCACAGATAACTGCAGATAGGATTGGCAGCAATGGCGCAGCAGCAGCCCACCATGGCTGCTGGCCTACCATTGCATTCCACCAACAGCTTCAGCATTTCACCTTGCCTTTACCCTACTGGCAAAGACTCTGGTGCAAACAAGAACAAGATTCTGACACCAGCAACAGTAGTTTCCAAGATCTTCACCAGCTGCAATTAGGAAGCACCCCCAATTTTTTCCCACCGTCTGTCATGCACAACCTCATGAACTTGGATTCTTCTTCCATAGAGCACAGCTCTGGATCCAATTCTGTCATCTACAGCAATAATGGGAATGGTGGTGAAGGTGGTGGAAGTAATGGCACCACTGCCAATGGTGGTTACAATGGGAGCAACAATGCAAGATATATGTTCCCTTTGGGGACAGTTATAGCCAGCACTAATTGTAACCAAAATCAAGGAAATGGCTTTGGAGATGGTGCTGAAGTGAACATGTTTGGGCCAGGAGATCCATACAATAATCATGAGAGGAACTTGTACTAGCTTTCTTATCATCAATCACCAAATGGAGAGAAAGCCGCGAGCACATATGATCAGGCCTCAACGTGCAACAACTGTGTGCCAACTGCAGTTCCTGCAATTGCACAAAGGTCCAGCCAGCACCGTGGTTGTAGGCCATGGAGCTTCAACATTTACACTGTGGAATGATACATAAATCAATGGAAGAGGAAGAAGAAGGGAGAAGGGGGAACGGATCTGGCTAGGAAGAGAGAAGGGAACATGTCTACAAATATGATCTAATTTTCTTGATTTTGATTTCGCATTTCCTCTCTTCCTTCTGGATTAACTAATTTAACTGGGGAAGATAGGATTTTTCTTCTTTTTTATTATTTTATTTTATTTTTTAGTTCTCTAACTTTGCAGTTATAGATGCAGATTTTATAATTTATCAAGGGTCCAACTGAAGTTCAACGATAGCATGTGAGGCTTTGGCTAAAGGTTTTCTCACATGCTACGAATTTTGGGAACTTCAGTTCAGGATGGATCCTCCAAAAGTCCATTTTTCTTTAAACAGCAGGTTTTGTAAGAATTACATGGTTTCGATTCAAAGAATGAGATTTGTACCTCCTTTTTTGTTTATAATCTTCATTACATATTAATAGTTTTAAAGTTTGCTAGCATGTTAAGAGAACCTTGAATAAATAAATAAAAGTATATATACATATAGAGAGAGAGAGAGATCCGGTTCATAAACGTTAAACTTTAATATATATATATATTATCAACTCAAGTATAAACTGAATGCAAATTAATAGAAGTAAGAAACTTACACGGTAATACCAGAATAAGTCTAGATGGCAATTATCTTTTAGTATCCATACAATATAGGAAATGGATGAAGGAAAAAAGAACTCATTGACAACAACAAAATGCGCATAAAGCAACTTCCAAGATTATGAAGGCAGCACTAAGTAAGCAGTTGGATTTTTCACCCAATTCATTGTTTATGTAGCCAATCTCACAACACTCAGGGCACAGATATTACACAACTAACTCGTTCATCTAGGACAAAGTGGTGGAGAGTTGCCATTTGGATTTTGAGGAACCCAAGATCCAGATAGCAACTAGAATCTTTCAAGGTAACTATAATTTGTCACGTCACCAAACATTGAATTCAAAGATAGGTTATAGAAACAGAAGAGGTTGGGCAACCATCCCAGTCTTTAGTTTGATATCACAAAAAACTGAAAAAGCATTATAAAAATATGTACAGTAAAACAACATACACAAACTGCCAAACATGTCTATGTCAATGTTCTAGATTAATAAGCATGCCGACGGGGATACCATCCAACCGATAAATTTTCATTTTTAGCTGATTATCTCCAAAGAACCAAAGAATCAAACTTTAGACACACCTAATACAGAAAAAAAAATCTGACTTGCTTTGTTTAGATTAACAAATGTTTCATGGACTCGAAATATGTAGAGTTTGAGATGGGTACTTCACAAATTCTGAAGGATTTTTCTTTATTGTTAAGGACCCAAGCGTTATATTCATATGGATTCAAAGTGTCTGACACAGGTACAGTAGAATAAAGTGAATAGTCCATCAAGCAAATGTCAATAAAAGTAACGAAAAAATTGATTCAAGTGTCTTGGGGACAATTCAAGCCTAAGCCACCTCCATTCTGACCGTTGGTCAGTCATGGTCCAAATCTAATTGGAATGAATCTGAAACTTGAATCTTAACCAGTGTAATTAACCCAAGCCTCCACTTGATCAAAACTGGTGCTTGTGCGCTTTGCAGATCAGCCCCCTTTTTGGATGTACAATCTTGGAACCATTAGTGGCACTCAAAAGCTCAACTAGCTTACTTCCAATCCCAACATTTCCATCCAAAGGTACATACCATTGCCCAAGGACATCTAAAAATCAATCCATTTCAGAAATTTTATAGAATCTTACATTGAACTAAAACTGAGTCTGATTTCAAAGATGACTTTTCTCATTGATAAACTGTTGCAACTCAAGATATTAACAAAAGATCAAAGGTCTGGTAATCAAAGCTGCCAGTTTGTCAAGGTGTCTCGGCCATGTGGACTTAAGGATATCACTATTTTAAAAGGGGGAAGGCTTATTTGACCTATAATTATTCCTGATAATATCTCAATGTAAAAATTCTCTTTGCATGCAATGTAGGGTCATATTTGCAAAATGTATAATATCTAACCTGGTCATCTGGCCCAAAGAATCATCAGTCATCACTTACAACTTTTCTATGCCTAACAGAATATAGGGCTAGACTTTCCAGTACATGCTGAGATAATAAAACATCACGCATTGACTATATGTATCAAGTTTTCGAATAGATATGTTTTTCTGTCTCTACATTGAATGATGATGATTATTTTCTAAAGCCAATTTGTATTTTAGATTGCAATTGCTACCAAACATGTTACGATGCATACCAGCACAAACCATATCAATAGGTGGGAAATTGTCCTCATAAGCCACCAATATATATAGAAGGCCTCACCACAGCTTGAAAAACATCATTAAGTGCTCAAATTTAATACATTTCTAGCATATAAAATTTTTAATTGTATGTTTGAGAATTTTGAAACTGAATGCATCAAACCTTTTTATCTCCTTGACCCAAAAAAAAAAAAAAGGCTTTTTATCTCCATGAATGACATATTTCTTTTAATCATAAACAATATGTAAGTAAACAAACTGCAATAAGACATCATTGATATCAAAACTTCTACTTTGACTCATCAAGGAGCAATTTAATATCCCAAATCCCAATGATACAAAGTCACATAAGTCTCAATTTCTTTAGAAGAAAAATTCCCCGTTATACATTGTTGAATACAGAAGAACATACAGAAGTAGCATCATACCTCTTTCAGGAAGAGCATCTATGATTGTTTTAGAAAGTAAATCCTCTGTCACTTACTTTAGTTCCTCAACCATCTACAAGCATAAACATTATTGTCAAAACAAATGCAAATCTCACCATGAAAAAGCTTGCCAGCATTATAAGTTAAAGCGGAGGCATTGTAGAGTATTATCAAAACAACAGCTGTAACTGATACGTGACTTTTGGTCTAAAGGTGGAGTATTTACCTGGTATTCTAGACACTTACTTACATTTACAAATCTTTTAAGTTCTCTCAGATTTGTTTGGTATATCAAGTTTTGGAAAACTTTCTACTCTGATGGGTGAGAATTAGTCCCCCAATCGAACCTAAAAAGGATTATTATTAATAACAAACTTCAAATTGATAAACCAAATTTACCAAAGAGACAAATTTCTTTCTGAAACATTGAAGGAATATTAACCATCCCATTGAAAAATCAAAGAAGATCTAGAAGAATTAAGCACTAAAAGAATTTAAAACTAAATGCATGAGAATACTTAAATATATACATCATAAAAAGCTAACAATAAAAAAATATTACTTTATCTGATGTTCCAATGGCTGCCATCTTAGAAGTAACTCCCTTAAGATTACGATTTTAGAAAGAAAAAAAATTCTATTAAAATTGAATGAGGCAGTTCAATTCCCATGAATTATGGTATATATTATATCCTGACTTTTTTTTCCAGTTGGTTTTGATTTTATTAAAAAATATAAGCAGGAAAGGGTTTTTTTTTTTTTTTAAAAAAAAAAGGAAGAAGAAGAAGAAGACAGAAGAAAGAAAACATGATACAAAATGCATGCATACACTAAGATAGAATTCATAAGCAAATTATTAAGAAAAAAGTTAGCACACAGACAACAGTAAATATACAGATTATTATTTTTCAGTACTTGTTAAAATAGGAGTAAAATACAGAAAATACAAAACATATGCAAAGAAAAATTATTAGGAAACCTGCTAGGCAGAACTTGCAACCCAAAGATTAAGTTCAAGAAAACCAAGTTGACAAACTTGCGCATTATTTCAATCAAATGCATCTTCCTTCAAAACTTCTTCCTTGTTAGTCATTATTTCAGACAGTAAATGATCACCACAGAGTTAGTGCCACAAACCAAGCATCCATATGGGATGGAAGGTTTACAACGGCAACTGTTTGATTGTGACTGGCAGAGGGTAGTAAGCACAATATCCTATTGTGCCAACCAAGTATAACAGGCTGCTCAGCTCCCAATGAATTTCTTTTGCTCAATAATTCTTTAGTCAGTCAGGCAAAAATGAAAATTAAAGGGGAAAGAAGGTGAAGGGAACTTCAAAGAGGTGAGGTTGTCAAAAGATTTAATGGAGTTTCACCTACTTCTGAGGTTATAATTTTGAGTATCTCCTTTATCTCTTCAACCCTTGAATGAGAAAGATCCCCTACTGTGAATTTTTCAAAACTTCCCTTCACTTCAACCAGACTCCAACCAGGTTCCTTCTTCAATCCACTGCCCTTCAACATCTTCCATGCTTCTGCGACTGAACTCCACACCTCATCTGAAGCATACAAGCTTGATAACAGAACATAAGGTGAAGTCGTCACTGGTTGAAGTTCAACAAGCTGTTTACCTAAACGTTCGCCTGTGATGGTATCCCCATGCAGTCGGCATGCAGAAAGCAGGCTCCCTAAAACTACTGGATCTCGTCCAAAAGGAAATTTCTTCATGTAATCTTCTGCTTCAGTCAATCTCCCAGCTCGCCCCAACAAATCAATAAGACAACTGAAATGTTCTAAATTAGGAGCAATTCTGTATATTTCTTCCATAGAATTGAACAAACTAAGGCCCTTGTCAACCAGACCTGCATGATTGCAAGCCATCAAAAGTCCAAGAAATGTAATAGAATCTGGCTTTAATGCTATTGCCTTCATCTGCTCAAAAATTTCAAGTGCTCTGCCTCCAAGCCCATGATTTCCAAATCCAGAAATGATGGTGTTCCATGAGACAAGATTGCGATGGATCATCTTGTTGAATACACTGTTTGCATATTCAATGGAACCACATTTAGCATACATGTTCATGAGGGCATTACCAACTCCCACATCTTGATTCAACTCTGTTCTGATTAGATGAGCATGAATCTGCTTTCCAGAATGCATAGAAGCAAACCCAGCACAGGCAGAAAAGACACTAGCAAAGGTAAAGTCATCAGGTGTAACACTGTGATCATTTAACATCTCCCTAAAAGCTCTCAAACTCATTTCATGATCTTCACAATGAGAACAAGCAGCTATAAAAGTGTTCCATGAAATTATATCTTTTTCCTTGATCTGTCTGAATATTTTCTCTGCTTCTTGTATCAGATTGAACTTTGAGTACATTGTTATCATCAAATTACCAATAAAAGGGGTGGAATCAAGTTTAAGTTTGATTGTCTGGCAATGCAAGACCATTCCTCTATGCAATTTTCCTGAATCAGCACAACTTGTCAACAATCCCACAAAAGTAAAACGATCTGGCACAAAGCCATGTTGTTGCATAAGTTTAAACACTTCAAAACCTCTTTCAGGCTGCTGATTTTCTATAAACCCATTGATCAGACCATTATAAGCAACTGGATCTGGTACTGGTGAATCAGCATAAACCAATAATGCATCACTACAATGACTGCATTTCATGTACATTGAAATGAGAGAGTTAGAAACAAATGAGATGCTAGCATATCCAAACTTCAATGATTGGGCATGAATTTGTTGTCCTGCCACCAAAGCCACGAGGCTGCCACAAGCACTTATTGCACTGGCATAAATGTGCTCATTGGGTGTAGGATGCATTTGGAAAAACAAATCAAGTGCGAACAGGGGCTTCCCACCCTGGTCATAACCAGAGATCATGGCTGACCAAGAAACGACATTTTTTTCAGGCATTTCATCAAACACTTGGCGAGCAAGGTTAATCTTGCCACACTTGGCATACATGTTTAGGACATGGTTGGAGACATAAACATCATATTG